AGTGCGTCTAAAATCGTGGCACCACTGCCAGAGAATGAACCATCGCCACGTTGAAAATCCAATACTAAACGTAAAGAATGATGGCAGGCAGCCGCCAGGATGGGAACTGCAACACGATGGGAAAATCTAATGAAAAATGACATTATATTCAAAGGACTGTACAGCGAGTTCGCACTGATTCAATTCAGGTGGAATGCCTGCGCGGCATTAAGCGTCATCTTCGAGGCAATGGGATAAGCAACAAAAGACTTAGAAGGCTTTCACTGCGTTGATACACGAAAGATTCTCCAACAAAAACAGAGCTCAATTTAGTTTCTTCTGTCGGGTTATGTCTTGGCAACCGCCATTTTGTTGTCCGTGCTTGGGTTTCCACATCAGGAGCTGAAGACCTAAAGCGGCTTGTCTGCTTCCTTGCAGGTGGCTGAACCAAGCCATCCTTCTTTTCCTAAGTCCTCTGATAATTCTTTGACGTCAGTCAGCACAAGAACATGGTCGTTCCTCATTCTGGCGCACGATTCCGTCTTCAGAATGCACCGCAGCCAGCACTGTTCGACACAATTCAATCTTCGTGCGCGCTAATAAAAGCCGCGGCTTTTAGTCCAAAAAGCAACTTAAGCTTGCTGGCAGTGCGGCAAAGGTGGCTCTTGATGGACACCGCTATTTTCTTCGCAACAACAAACTTCAAGAGGTTTGTCGTGTACTGCTTTAGTTACACTATCAATGCCTTCAACACTGTTGCTCAGTACAGTGCCATCATAACAACCCAGGTTTGTGAGGTACCTCAGGTGAACTGCAGAATAATCGCCGACTGGCTGCGTTCTGGAATACTTGTATTAGTCGCTGATCGTTGCTGCACTAGGGTCATATTTATCGTTGTACGTTGGCTAGCTTCAGTTTCTGCATGGCAGAATATCTGCTTATACAAGCTGACGTAAAGCCATTAACGCAAAGCGCTCACTGCAGAGGCAGCATGAGCGACATCGCTAAGAACAAAGAAACGTGTCATGTCTCAATGCCCTCCTCCAAGCTTCCCCGTTGTCTGCCTGTCGGTGCGTCGCGTTCTCTTGTCTACGGTGGACTAAAGTCTTGGTTCCGCCTTCAGACATCAGCCGAAGGCCGAACACGTCATCGCTCGTACCAACGGTCGTTCGGATCAGAGGAAAAGTGAAGGCGAAGTCGCAAAGCCGGCAGCAGTCAGTCAGCTTCGCCTGAAACGATGATGGAACAACACGACGCGACGAAACAGATAGTGCTGCTGCCTAGACATTTCGCTTCCGTTCGCATCGTCAGCGGCATCGACCAGAAAGAAGGACCGGACGTGACAGACACCGGAACGTTACTTTCATTTGTAGCCGCACTTGTGCTCAAAGCAGCATCGCTCATTCTAATTAGTTCAGCAAGAGAGAAAGAGAGAGCAAAAAGCGGCCAGCGCAAGGCAAGGTAACAACGAAAACAACCAACTCACGGGATCAATCTCAGGCTCAACTACAGTGCCGCGAAACGGCAACTTCAGCGACACCTCGGCGGCGATGTTGGCCGGTCGACGCAGTACGACTTTGACGCTGCTGCCCTCATCCTGCTGTTTATGCGCCGTTTCTGGAACAACCTGATCGAATGGCACGTTGAGTAGGAACAGTGGGTGCGCGACGGCAACGGAAGCAACGACCATCTCGTTTCGTTCACTGCGACTGGAGCCAAGTTGTTTAATAGCGGGGATGACGGAGGCAACGGCTGTACGACTGTGATGATGACAATGAGGATATCGATGAAGATCGTCGCCGGTGCTTGCAGCAACACGAGTAAAGGTGTTGTCCTCGTCCTCGTTTTCGTCCTCGCGGCGGTGGTGACTCTGCTGTACGTTTATCAAACGATGGCTGTACCGACAAGCTGGATCGAGGAGGAAATCGAAATCAAGATACGACGAACGGTTCTGCCACCACGCTGGGCGCGGAGGCGAAGACTCCAGGTTTCCGCCGGCTTCACGTCTGAAATCGGCCAACGCGCAGTTCCTCGACGCGTCTCCAACGTCCAGCAGCGCTCGTTGGCGTGCACCCTTTGTGAACGACCGGCACTTTGTTTCTTCACTGTCATCGCGTCGCGAAGTGTCGCCGACAGTTGCCAGCGGTCGAGTTAGCAGAGGTGACGACTGATTACCAGCAGGACACGGACGATGTTCAAGCGTCGTGTCGCAACGAAGTGACGTCAGCAAAGACACGTTCGGCAAACTGTACGCGCGACGCGGCACCATATACGTGCACTTTCTTCTTGCGTACCTCAGCAACTTCGCGCTCTTCGGTTTCGGTGCAGCGTCGATAATCACCGCTTGCTTGTACGACGGACTGGACGATGTGACCAGGCTATTGCCTGTCTGTGGTTTAGTTGCAACAGCGACGTGAAGACGTCGTCGCGGCACATGCAACCTTGAGACTCGCTTCGGTTTCCTTTCTAAGTCGCGCAACACATTCGTAAAACTGTGCAGCTCGGCGATCAAAGAGCAATCTGTGCAGATGTTGCTTGCGTCAGTCGATGCAGAGGTAGACGTGGAAACGGAGGTCATGTTCGGGCGCAACCTGAACAACGTGTCGGCGACTGCGGTGGTGCCACCGCTCGTTGGGCCACTCGCCCGCGACTTGACGTTCGACCTCTTCGCCGGTGCTAAAACAGCATCAACCGCTAGACTTGTGGTGATCGAGGCGGTGTTCGTATGTCGCTACGGCCGTCTTGCAACCGATGTGCGAAAAGACAGAAAGCAACACAGTTTACAGAAGCAAACTCGTGAACATGCTCGTTTCTACAGATACTTACAAACCGTGATCATCTTCGTGATCCGACTCGAGCCGACTTTATTTCGAACAAGGATCGATGACAAACAGTAGATACGGACGAGGAGCCGCGAAGTTTGCTTTACAATTTACCCTTGAACAGGCTTTAGGGCAAGCAACCTTGCATGCGAATGTACCATAAACAATACATGAGGGACAAACTCGATCTAGATGTCACTGCCATTTGCAATCCGGGATCTGCGGCACCGATGACATGAATGAGCAGACGGACGGATGGAAGCTCGAATCTACGGGTTCGTAGAAAAGAAATCCGCCTGCCCGCACTGAAAACTTAAGTTAATATGCGTGCGACGAGAGGCGAAGCGATGTGAGGTGAGTTGCGGTGTAGCGAGACGCATCGCCTAAACTTGTTCACTCGCGCCTTCTCGTTCTCCGACAGTTGCCGCAGCCTCGGCAAGCACAGAGAATGTGGAAACGACTGCGACGGCGGCAATTTCTAATCAGCTGGTACGAATGAGGGCATGAACACGAATATGCGACAAACAACGAACTAACGCATGCGCTCGCAAGAACATTTGCGTGATTATGAGGTAACAGAACAGCTGACGACTTTCGCCAACACTCAAGGTATACACGTAATCAGCGATGGCTTAGAAGCCGAAAACGAGGATCAAAGTCGTTGTTATCCCCTTCGCTAGCATCACTACCAACACTACGCCCAAGTAGTTTACCGATAAGCAAGTTCGCAAATTGCTTAGAGAACACTGACCAACCGCCAATGGCTCATTCGAATGTCATCATCATGATGACATATGCTTTGGCACTTCGACTACACTTCACTGAAGTAAGCAAACAAATGTAGTAAATTAGTGTTCTCGCCAAGGAGAGTGGAATC